ATGACCAATTCAGCCACAAAGGTTAAAACTGACCAGTGATTGGTTATAATGTCCAGTTGTGGTCAGTTTGGTCAATTTTAACCTATCATGGTAAAAATCATGTAAAATACGTAAAATCTTTATTACTTAGGTATAATGACCATTATTGGTCAGCTGGTCATCATTTGGTAAGTTGTGATCATTACTAGAGGCCATAAATTCATTTAGCAGTATTTTTATTGTATTGTATTATATTATTTATTATTTTACTTAATATTGACCAAATTGACCACAACTGGACTACCCAGTACACCCTTTTCTACTTAACCGTAGCTCCCCCGGGAAATGACCAGGGAGAACATATCTGACAAAGAGTTATTGCCCAAATTGTGGCAGCTAGGTGGGCCCTCTCATTTTACAACCACGAACCATGGCGATTTTTGTACGCCAAACGTAACACTGAACACTGGACTAAGTTTCCCGACACTGTTATGGTTAATGTAAAAAGCGGCATCGGCACTGGTATGCAAAAATTAATTTACTACATCACTTGTAATTTAATTAATATTAATTTATTTTAAGTATAAACTGTAATTCTTTTATAATTATTTAGCGCATAAAAGTAAATTAGATTAATAGATAATCACCATGCATAAATTGTAAAATTATGCATGATTTATTCAACGTATAATTTATTAATTAAAGTTTTAAATATTTTCAATATAATTGCAATTTTTTATAAGCACAAATTGTTTATTAACTTATTAACAAGTGATTTCACTACTGTAAGTTTTTAAATAATTATTAATAAAATCTTATAAATCTAGAATATAATTAATAGAATCTAAATGTAATAATTATCTAATAATGATTACATTATAATATTAAAGTAACAATATCATTTTAGAATATATTGAAATTATAATTTAAATATTTTATTAATGTTTTAGTTTATACAATATTTGAAAATAATTTATATTTGAAAGCAAAGTTACGTCATTTTATGCGATACTTATATTATCTAAAAATAGTACTTTGTATTATACAATATATTGTACTAGTGTATGGTGCATACTATGTATAAATCTTATCACACAGTAATATACGATATATACGTAACCATGTATATGAGTGTTAAGTAATCATTGAAAACATTATGACGTTATGCAGTGCACTGAGTATCATAACTGATGCAAAGTTTTATGTTTATTACACAAAACTAGTACAGAAGCATTAGTGCAACATTTTTTGAAGTTATATAAATAAGCAAACTTACATTTAGTTGAACAGATTTTTGTGTTAACATTTGAATTCAAATTGAGAATATTTAATAAATAATATTTTAAAAACTTATATAAAAACATAATGATTAAAAGTGTGTTTAATTATGTATACGATAATGTGGTGTTACAAGTAAGTATAGATTAAGTAATATTTTTATAATGATACTCTAATTTTAGGTTTATTTATAAAGCATGTTAATAATATTAAATCTGTTTTAAAAATAGATTAATGATTCCAATAATAGCATTAAGCAACATGATAACTATTTGAAACTGTATTTGTTTATATAAAACATTAAATATAATTATTGAAAAATAATATTAATTTAAATTGGAAAGACCTCCAGTACTATTCCTAATACTAATTACTAATTAATATATTATAAATTTACTAATTAATTAAAATTAAGAAAATTTATAATAATAGATTCAAAAATCATAATTATGCTTAGATTTATTAAAAATAAATACTAAATTAAATTTAATTTTTATTCAGTGTATATAAAATTTTAAAACTGTAAATATGTATGTAAATTAAATCTCATTAAAATGTTTTATAATAATGTTATTATAGTCGGCGTTAAAGATAAGGTGTTATTTAATAATATACATTTAATTTATAAAAATAACTTATTAAATGCTTGCTTATAATTATTCTATCAATATTAAATTAAATTTATCTATCATTTTACTTTGCCCAGGGTCGAAAAACTGAACACTCCGTACATCCATTAATATTAAGCCGTACGTCGCCCCGGGAGATGACCGGTGAAAATATCCTGGACAGTGAGCTCCTACCCCTATTTGAGGCAGCCAGGTGGGCACCGTCACATTTCAACGCACAACCATGGCGATTTATATACGCCAAACGGGGCACTACACACTGGGATAAACTATACAACCTTGTTAATTTCCGTAATCAGAGGTGGTGCGACAAGGCTAGCGCACTGGTACTCGTAATAGCCCATAAGTGGACAGACAGCTTCGTGTTTGGACTGATAAAGCCTATGGCAATACCTACGGCCAGCTTTGATACCGGGGCCGCGTGTATGGCACTGGCATTGGAGGCGTCGGGTAGGGATCTCGTGGCCCACTGTATGGTTGGTATGGATTACGATAAGGCGTACGAAGTGTTTGGTATCGACCGGCGTATGGATAGCATTGAGTGCATGATTGCCATCGGAAAACGACCGGCGCTTGAAAACAGGGCTAAGCCTAGGATTTCCCAACGAAACCCTATCGAGAGCTATGTTTTTGAAGGGTTTTATAATAGCGATAATAATCATAATAATTAGCTTGCTTCATTATTGTTTTGTTGTATTTATTTTTAAAATTTATTTATAATTTGAAAACATCATGGTTGTTTAAACGCATATATTTGTAATTTAATTTTGTTTTTATAAATCAATAATATTTTAATTTAATATGTAGAAAACCCATATTAATAAAAAATTTAACATTATTAATTATTACAATTACAATTTTAAATTTGATATCTTATAGTTTATCCAATTATTTATAAGATTAAAACTGAACATTATTTAATATTACAATTAAATTATCATTACAGTTAATTTTATTAATAGATTATTTTTTAATAATAAATACTGATAAATAAATCATTTTGAAAATGCGTATTATAATAACGTTAAATTTATAATAATAATCTCTAAACTAAACTGTAACCAAAATATAATAATATAAAATATATTTCTTTTTTATGGTTAAAGAAATGTTTGGCGTTAGAGATATTATTTATTTTTTATCAAAATTATTATAGATTTAATGTATATTGCTTCTAAAACTAATAATTTTTGATAATAATGCTTGAAAAATTCAAATAAAACATATCTGGTATATAAATAATTACTTATTAAAATTCATTGTTCTTATGAATAAACATAAATAAACATTAATCAAAACTGTAATTATTTATTTATAATTAATTTATATTTTCTGAATAAATAGCACTAATATTATTGGGGACAACACAGGCGCAGTAATATAACATTTTATTTATAATTATTTTTCATAAACCTAAAAATGGTAAACCTCATATATTTTTATTAGGTGGTGTATGAGTGCTATTGGAAAACGACCGGCGCTTGAAAACAGGGTTAAACAACTGTATAATTCAGCAAGTTCTTATAAAACAATAAATATAAAATACTGCCGAAAGTACTTGGAGTCCAACAAAATATTTAAAGCAAATATTGTAATGAATATATTATTGATTTAATAAACAAATAGTCATCATATAAAATAGCAATTATATTTTAAAATATTTTTAAAATGTTACAAATTATACATGGTGATTATCTATTAATCTAAGTTACTTTTATTTGATAAATAATTATAAAAGAATTTGTTTTTATTAGATTTAAGATTTTCCAATACTAATTCCATGTTACAAGTGTTATTAACACGTTTTTTGATGTTTTTGTCATTTATCAATAGTATTAGCTTGGAGCAACTTGGTCTTTTATCGTAGCGAAGGGTAATCATTAATTGAAAAATTTCGACCAACATTTTAATATTATTAAATAGCTTGGTCGTTTTATAATTTGCGAGTGGATCCTGACTATAAATAATATATTAATAATAAGTCTAGTTAATACATGGTATAGTTATAATAACTAACCAAAATAATTTAATAATATAAAATTACGCAATATAAAATATATTATTGTATAATATAAACAACATTAAAACATGTCTACTCTGCTTGCGTATAATTGTATTAGTATAAGTCAGAGATGTTTTATAATGCCGGTTTTTGTTTTAATATCTCATATATTATATATAGTCAAGCAAAGTGGGTTGATTTTGTCGCCCCGCCCGCCCCGATAAAGAGAGAGAGCTAGTTATATATATATTTAATTATTATTAAAATTTTATTAATTACTGCACTATGCTAATAATTTATATATATATATACAATAATAACAAAAAAAATCAAAAATAATTTAGTTAAAATATTTAAATACTTACTATAAAGGCAAGTCAAACAAGTCCTGTGCAATAACACCAAGGCTATAAATGTCAGCTTTCAAGGTATAGTTTGAATCATGCAATTCTGGCGCCATGTATCTAAATGTCCCGACATTTTTCGTGTGACTCATAGAGGCTTCGTGAACAGTAGCCAACCCGAAATCACAAAGCTTTATAAACCTACCTGTCCTAGGTTTATCAGCAATTAATATATTGTCGGGTTTGAGGTCCCGGTGAATGATCGGTGGATTCAGTTCATGCAAATACTGAACACATTCTAAGAGCTCGCGTAGCATTTCGTACGACACGAAGTACTCGCACAGATTGAGTGGTTGTCCCTTTTGGCGGTCAAATATGTTTAGTTTATCCGCGAGAATATTCCGTAAACTTTGGGAACAGTACTCCATTTGTATGTTTAGGTAGTTTTCTTCGCACCACGAATTAAAATATAGGACCACAAACTCAGATCGCACATTAGCCAAGCTTACCAATTCTCGTAGCGTTTCATCTTGATACTTGTTGTCAATTTCTGTTTATTATATATAGTAAGTAATGTAAACTTTGATTATATTTAAAGATATATACCATTAATTGCAACACGTTTAATCGCATAAATATTACCATCATATTTGTGTTTTACTTTGATTACTGTACCAAAACCACCTTTCCCAATTTGTTCATCTTCTTTAAAAGTAGTTAAATAGTAGCCATCACCCGGTATATCAAACCCAGATTGACCAATCACTAGTTAATATTTCTTAAAGTTAAATATTGTTTAAATATACTATATAATTTAATTTTACTTGTTGATTTTTGGTTGATATAACAATTTTCCAATTTATTAGACTTTGAATCATGACATAAGAATAACGAATAGGGTACTAATCCATCATTGCTCATTCTGATTGTATTGAATGTAGCTTCGTATTCATCGCAAAAATAGTCGAATATGTTCTGGGTGACTGTTTTCAAACATTTATTTTCAATTAACTTGTGTATAAATTTATTTTCTATGATGGCGCCACCTGAAAACATTTCCATACTACCAGTAACGTTATCCCTAATATACTCAGGAACATCCTGGTAACCAGTGCCGTATTTACCGCAAAAATAAATCTTCCCGGTGTTTGTAAGAAAATATGTATTAAAAAAGTACGTACAAATTGCATGCACGTTCATTAAGTTGATCAAGGTCGGTTTATAATAATTTCGTTCAGTAGCATAGTAACCCAACGTGTGATAGCTTGATAAACCCCAACTATACGCATACCCCTCCATGGTCAATGCAAACGAGGCGTACCTTGAGCAACTTACCCATTTTATATTAGATGTTGATTGAAAATTAATTATTTTTGGTATTAATATAACATGATCCTTATAATTATTGATTCCGACTTGGCCGTAATCATTTCGACCCCATCCGTATAATATACCTTGCGCAGTGAGCGCCATACAGTGGTAATCCCCGCAACTAACTTGTGCAATATTTTTGTCATTGAAAAAGGTGATATTTCGAGCATTTAGAAAATTTTGACTTTTATGACCACGTCCCAATTGTCCGAAACTATTGCCTCCATATGCGTATAAAAGTTTTTCTTCACTAATTGCTATCATAAAATCGTATCCAGCAACAAATTGAGTAATATTTTTGCCATATAAATCACTTATGGACTCGTGCTCATTCAATTTACATTCATAAATTTTTGAAATAATATCACCCATACCGTAAACATGATCATTTTTTGTAACAAACGCAATGTTAAAAATTTTATTAAAGATTGTTTTGGGTCCAGGTATAATTGTTTGAAAAATTTGTCCAAGCATATTGCACAGATATAACGGTTTTTCGTTTATGTACAAAATGCGTACGACGTGTTTTAATTCAATTTCGATATCATTTAAAATGTTAAATTTATCTATTATTTTAATAGGCATTATAACTTTTAAAAAAATAAATATATTAAAAATATTAAATAAATTGCACTACTTATAATAGATTTTTCATTTACAATTTCTCTTAAATGTCATCGCAATAAAATATCAAAGTTTAATGATAAATGTTTTGGTAACTATTATTATCAATATAGCTCACAATAAAAGTATAACGTATGCAGTACTATATATGTATGCAGTACTAATCTAATAAAGTATAACGGTACAAATTCTAAATTCCAAATTTACTATATGAGACGCAACAAGCTGAAACGATAGATGTGTTTGTGAAAACAACCTGTAAACTTAAGTATTTCATATAATAATGTATAGCAATCAAGTTGGGCATATTATAATAATAAGTGAAATACTTCAGTTTACAGTTTACTTGCACGTTTACTTCATTTCAGAATTGGACTTTTCATATGTATATCTATTTATGAATTATAGAATATATATGAATTTATAGGAATTGTATAATATATCTATTTGAAAACACT